ATGTTCGTTCAACTGCATTGTTAAAACCTGTTAGCGTGATGCAACGGTACTATCTTATCCTCCAGTTTCATTTGTGCAAGTACTCGAGGATGGACAATGCACGCGCCGCTCCCATCGTCTACCATAATGCGTCTTACATCTATATCTAATATTCGTAAAGTGATAACAAGGGCATCATAGAGAGGGAAAACCAAACCATGGGTATCTGACTTATCAAAGATGATACTTTATTCGAGTTCGTCGTACCGTTCATGAGTGATTGACCGCTTGAGCTTGTGGGTTGTGGCGAACTTTACGCTGTTGATCGAAATGTCGTCGCCGCCCCCGATGATCATTTGAATGGTGCGAGTCAGTGAGGGTGGTTTCGGCGGTCCTTGGTGTTGTTCACATCCTCGGGCAAAGTTGGTCCTTCCTCGACCGCTCAACATTTCTTTGAGGTGTCCTTAATGAAGCATGTTCACGACCTCCTGTCTTAGGGCGATGCAGTCCTCGGTATTGTGACCTCGCTCTTGGTGGAACTCGCAGAGGGCATCTGATTTTCTAGTGTTTGGATCTGACCTCATCTTTTGTGGCCACTTTACTTTTGGTCCGAGCTTCTCCAATGCATAGACTATTTCTGAGGATGACACACAAAAATTGTGAGCGGATAGTAAAGGGAGCATACCTCTCTCGTTCCGGTGAGTCCCTGTCCTTGGCCTAGATGGGCCCTCTTCGTGCTGGGCGAGGGGCATGATGGCACATCTAACATATGGCTGATGCCTTTCTCGGTTGGATCGTGGAGCTGCAAGATCTCTCTTGGTATCATTTCTTCTATCCTTCCTGGTTTTGGCTTGCACCGAGGTCAATCGATCAGTTGGCCCATTCAGATCGTCTTCGTTGGTACGGACCTCGGCACATTACGCATTGTGTATTTCATCCTAAGTGGTTAGAGGATATTTCATAATCCGGTTTAATAGTTTTCTGGTTGCCCTCGAGCCATTGCTGTTCAGCCCATTCTGGAAAGCTGCTACAGTTATTCCTTCCGATACATTCGGTAAGGTCATGCTTATTCTATTGAAACGAGCGAGGAAGTCCCTCAATCCCTCTGCGGGTGATTGTTTGATGGCGAATATATCGTTCACTCTTAACATGGGCCGTTACAAACTTGTCGGCCATCTCTTCGAATGTTTCAATGAAGTGCGCGGGTAGCTGTGAATACCAAGCCAATGCTCCTCCGGTAAGGGTCTCGCTGAACTTTTTCAACAAGATGGAGGAGAGTTGTTCTTTGGAGAGATCATTGCCCTTTATCGCAGTAACATAGTGAGTTACATGATCTTCGGGGTCGATCGTGCCGTCATAAATTTTCAGACAAGGCGGCATCTTAAACGTGTTGGGTATGGCATGTGGGGCGGATTCATCACTATAGGGTTGCTCGACGAACCGGATAGCGTCTCTTTTTGGCAAGAGTTTTGGGCCACCCGGTATTTTGTCGACTCTTTCTTGGTGTTCTCTCATTTGATCCCGAAGCATTTTGTTTTCATTTTTCATTTCTTCCATTTTTCTCAGAATGGCCGTGAGGGTGTCGTTACCTGCATTATTAATATTGTGAGTGATACTTGTTACTGAATGGGGAAGACCGTGTTGCTTGGTCGTTGCTGGTGCAATGCAAGTCCTTGCATTTTCTCTAACTGCCTCCTGAGTGGGCTTGTTGAGGATGTCGGTAAGCGTATTTGTTAGCCAAACTTCAGTAGCTTCTTCACTACTGGTGACGCTTCTTCCGCTGTGGACGTGGAAGCTCCTTTACTGCAGGATGCTATGAAACTGCCGTGAGGGAGGGGTGATTCACTTCGTCGGGGAGAGGTGTTAGGCGTTATGCCTTCGCCTTCTGTTTCGGAGACCTCATTGATGATGTTTAAGAGGTTGGTAGTGAAATCGGCCACTGCCTTCATCCTCTCTTCTCCCTTACCTGCAATGTCAGATCTGGGTGTACAAAGAAGTAGGAGCTTCTTTTTTTTTTTGTGAACTGTGCCAGTTATAGATCTAGAAGAAACTAAAGATTTAACTAGGTATCCCCATAGACGGCGCCAAATTGTTTGACAAAAAAATATAGACTTTTGATTAAACTAATTAATATTGTATGACGAAAGGCTAAACTTAGTTAATGATAATAACTTCAAATCTATAATCGATTAACACCAATCACGCAAGAGCAGTGTTGAGAGAAGATTAAATGTGATATATATTTAATGCTTCAAGATCATTAGTGATGGGGAATATCAAGCAATAAATAACGATAAATGACATTAAAGTAAATAAGGAGAATGATTCACCCAATATTGAATGAGTTAGATGATTTTTCTTTCTAACAATAGTGAATGTTAGACAAATACTAGAATGTTGGGACCCTTCTCGGATCTAATGGAAAAAATGTGGAATAATAGACAATCGAATCTCTTTAGATAGGTAGTGATTGTCTTTTATATAGAGATAAGTGTGCTTCTTCAAGAATGTTCTTATCAGAGAATATTACATATCCGTCTCCCCCTATCTTTTTTTCTCTTTTATATGGAACATTCCCCAGTCAACCCTAAAAGTACAGACACCGAGAATATTCAATAGAATATTCTCCTGAATATTCTATTACAAAAACTAGCTGTTAGCTCTTGACCTCGGCCTTTATTTACTACTCGGCTACGAGCCCCGTTATCTACTAATCGACCTCGACCATATCGCTTTCTACGATACCGTTTCGTGTCAAATCCTAATTAAAACAGATTTTGACCCATACAATAGATATGGTTTGAAAAAATAGAAAAGAAAGAGTAGTATCGTGACACAAAATCAAGTAGTGGAAGTAGCAACATACATTAGAAATCAACATCCATCTAGCAGTGGCAGTTTTTCGACTTATTTCAAATATAAGTTTAGTTTTCGAAACCAATTTCATTCTCATCCTAATCCAATATAACAGATTCAGTTCTCAAAAGTTATTCGAACAAACATAAATAATTCAAATCGTAATCAAAATTGTGCAAGAATAATTGACAGACTTAGAATTAAATTTGGAAGATGTATTTTAGAAAAATGGATTAACAACCAAAATAACAGTACAAAATGGAATCAAATAATCATGTTTATCATTGTTGGATAAAGGCTCCGCTTCTCCAATATGGTAGGACTTCTGAATCTTTCTGCGTTTAGTTCCTTCTTAGTTATGTTGCTCCTCACTTGGTAAAAATCATTAAAAAGATCATCTAAGTTGATTACGTTCTTCCTATAGAATACAACATTGAAATAAAAAACTTATATAAAGAGGTCCTACTGATTGCCTCATGAGTCAACTCTTATTGCACTTTTATCTACTTTTTTCAATAATTTTAACTGGACAAACCATCTCTTGATTTTTCTAATATATTTTAATTAGGAACTAAACGGTGGTACCTTTTTGCGGTAACAACGTTAGAAATAGACTATGAAATGCAAGTAACTTTTTTTTAATTAAATAGAAATGGTCTCTTGATTTTGAATGTGAAGGAACATATTTGAAAAGTTATTTTGCTAAGGATCACAACTCTTCAATTCAAGGCGTCATTTTCTTAAATAAATAGTTCTATTCTAATGGCCAGATAAGTTTTTCAAAAATTAGTTACTAATAAAAGGACACAACTATTTAGAAAAGACACAATATAAATTAAAATTTTTAAATATGTCTTTAATTATAATTATAAAATAATATATTATTAGAAGGGTAATTTAGTAATTGCAATCCATACAAGAACAGAACCCTCTTTTTGGACTTTGTCTCATCGTGGGCAGTAAATGTGATGTTTGTTTTTAATTAGGTCTAACTTTTGTTTAAAGGTTTAATAGAGCTATAGAGGATTTAATTCCACATTTACGCTTTATTTAAATCCTACTTTATCAGGGATTCTTAACTAAGAACGTGAATATTCTTTTTCTGATAATTACTGTTAAAGAAAATGATTTATTTTGTACCATACAAAAAGAAAATGAAAAAGATAATCTTTAAAAACCAACCCCAACAAATCGGAGAAGAATAGGTAAGCATTTCAAGTATTTTCATGCGAACTAATCGCTAATTTGTTGGTTTATCAATAAAAAGTACTAATATTCTTATTAATTGTTTCCCCGTAATGTACTTTCAATATTTATGAGAATAAAGCTACTTGTAGCGTCACTTTTCATCTCTTCTAATGATTCAGTTCTACGAATGGTCATGATGTGCAAGTTCTACATGGTGTTGTTTCTCTTTCTCTGTAAAGGTTGTACTGCTTAGACTGAGGTCTTAATTCTCAGTTATTTTTCACTGAAGAAGAATGATTCTGCTTCGTCTGTAGCCAAGCAAAAGGACAAGGAAGAGATGAGTGCACAAAGGAGTACACTAGCACCCACTCTTTCGGGATGTGCCAGTACTTTGCCAACAGAAAGGTTTGATCATAACAAGGTAGATGTGGAGCAAGACAAAGGTTAAAGTTCCAAAATGAAGGATGAAAGTATTGAAAAGGCTCACAAATTGAAGCACGATTTACTTTCGGGTGCTGGATGGAGAACTATTCTTCATAAGTTCAAAAGAGTGACTTCTGCTAAAGATATTGATGGCATGGGAGAAAAGCAGCAGGTGAGACTATGATATATCTTCACCAAGGTACCATTTATATGATGCAAAAAAATTCCTTATTTATCTTATTGATATTAATTAGTGTTTGTGTGTTACTGGTTTGCATTAAACTAAAATTGTTTGTATGGCTGGAGATTACTGAAGTATACTTGATAAGATCTAACTGTTTGTGGGCTTAACAAAGGTGTTGTATAGGATAGCATAATAGATTCTTCCCTATTGGTAGAAACCAAGGTTAATGCATGAACAAACATGCACCAGCAGGGTGGTATTTCAATACTATATGCTAATATTTACTACAAAATGTGTTTTGAACACATGTTCATTACTGACAGGGACTAAAGTTCATAGCCAAACAAAAGGACGAGGAAGAGATGAGAGAACAAAGGAGTCCACTACCACCCACTTTTTTGGGATGTCCTAGTACGCTGCTACTAAAAGAAATGTTTGATCATAACAAGGCAGCTGTGGAGCAAGACAAAGATAAAAGTTCCAAAATGAAGGATGAAATTTTTGAAAAGGCTTGGAATTTTGAAGCACATTTGAGGTCCTGTTTACATTGTTGCCTCTTTCCTGATAGCTACGAATTTGAGAAGCAAACAATGGTCCAATTATGGGTGGCCGAAGGTTTTTTTGAACCAGAAGGGGATAGAATGGAAGATCGAGCCCGCGCTCACTTTGATAACTTATTAGAAAAAGAATATGTGGTTGCTACTGAATTTGATAGCTTTGGGGCGCCAGTGAAATACAAGGTCACAGACGCGATGCATCGTTTTCTGCAAATTGCACCACAAGTAGGTGTAAGTTATTTGAAAGTAGAGGAAACTGATCAGTTGGGCAGTGTCTCAGAACAAATGCAACACTTATTTTTGATCTCAAAGAACATTAAACCCACAAGTTTTAAGATTCTCAGCAGGTTCAAGCACTTGCACACATTAGTGTTGCTTTGCGAACATGGTTCTTCTATGGGACGTGTACCACAGGATCTTTTCTATAGTGTGAAGCAGTTGAGGAGTTTGAGTTTGCGTCGAAGTGGCATATCTGAAATACCAATTTCTATTGGGAGCTTAAAATCTTTGCGTTACTTCGATGTCTCAGGAACACCAATCAAGTGTTTGCCTGAATCTATAGTCCGTCTTCAAAATTTGCAAACACTAAAACTTGATGGTTGTGCCAATCTTGTTGGCTTACCTTTGAAAATAAGCAAATTAGCTAACCTCCGCCACTTGGAGTTTGATTTACGTGGTCCAATGCCGGTTAAGATGGGGAATCTAACCAATCTACAAACATTGAGAGCATTCCCGGTGGGTACGGAGGATGGTTGTCATATTGTGGAATTAAAGCATTTAGTTAACCTCAGGGAGTCATTTTGTATTTCAAGGCTTGAAAATGTTTTGAGCTCCCATGAAGCGAAGGAAGCAGCCATGACCAATAAGAAATACATTCGTGAACTAGAGCTAAGATGGGGGTATCGTTGCAGTGGTAGTTCAAAATCTGAAGAAGAGATATTAGATTTCCTTAAACCTACTGCATGCCTTCAGAAATTGCGAATCCTTTTCTACAATGGTTCAATATTTCCCAGTTGGATAAACAATGGTTCATATCTCTGCAACATTGTTAATCTTACTCTACATAGCTGCAGAAATTGTCTTGTCCTGCCATCGCTTGGGGGATTACCATCACTAAAAGTTCTTTACATAGTTGAGTTTTCGGAGGTGAGGTTTATTGATAATCACTTCCGTAGAAGTTATGGTAATGAAGTGGATCACGCATTCCAAAGCTAGAGAAGTTGACAATTGGTGGCATGCCTAGTCTAGAAGAGTGGTCGGGAGTGGTAAATGGTGACTTTCCCTGCCTTTCTTATTTAAGAATAAGTAGCTGCCCCAAACTGGTTTCCCTCGAATGGCTTTCATTTTTGTGTTCTCTAAAAAGTTTGGAGATAAGTGACTGTGAGAAAGTTTTCTTGCTGGCCAACTATAAGCTTTCATCTTTGCTTGAATATCTGAGTATAACAAATTGCCCAAACCTAAAAAAAATATTCTGCAAGCGTGAAGCTAGTGGTGCGTCTCAGATAGCTCATGTGCCTTTTATACGGATTGATTTTGAGAAGATTTTGTTGAAGGACGGAGAAACTAAGTGTTAAACCAAGGATTTCTATGTACTTCTTACTCTATTAGGTATTTCTCTTTCTTGTAATCCTCTTCTATCATTTCCTTTTGTCTTAAGTAGTTTCTTTGGATGACTATTATCCTGGAATTATTGAGTTGACAATTATACCTTTGATAGTGACATAGATGCATAGTCAAACAATGGCACCCTAGTTTCTTTTACATTCTGCATATGTGTTTTTAACCCTGGAAATTCTCATTCATGTTGCCTAATCTTTTACACTTCTGATTAGTGGTACTGGACTTTCATCTCTATTATGACTGAGTATTGCTTTCTTGATGCCAGATGTGAAGGTATAAGCTGGAAATAGACATGATCTTGGAAGAAGTTCATCACCTTGTGCAGGTAAGCTGCACTACAACTTTATTTATTTTTATAAGGAAGCATTACAGGTATTATTGTATTTTCATGCAATGCTAAGGAAACAACATTGACACGTATTGTGTTCCTGAATCATATCAGTAAGCACACCTGTAATATCATAAAGTTTTCAGTTCTTAACATTCCTTGGCCTAGATTGTAACTCACTCAACATTTCAAAAAGAGATTATCGAGAAGAATTCTAGAATTCATTCCCCAAAACAAAGTGAATGTCAGATATGTCTAGTTGATTCTTCAAAGTTATATTATGCCTTAATTGAGTTTCTTGCCTAACAGATTTTTAACAATTCGAATGCGCTTCTGAAGATAACAGAGACAAATACGCTCAGCATTTTGTAGCAGTTCTCTATCAAAGAGATGGATGGATAGAGTTCCAATTTGGAGACTAAACATTCATATTACATATCTTGTTTGTTTTGACTTAAAATGTGTATGCACATCTGAGATTCTTTTTGATAAGCAGAGGGTTTCTGCCAACTTCAAGGTGCGACATTTGCTATGACTAGTTGTGATCTAGAGGGAAAACTGAACCTTTTTTTTAGTACAACTGAACTGATTGAGCGAATGTGGCTAGATTTTGAAAAAGTGGACATGGTTTTTGCTGTTTTTCTTGCTTGGGAGAAGGATGGACTTGTCAGTAAGGACTGAGCATCCTAAACATTTTCTTTAAATTGTGATGGATCTGTTAGTATTACAACAACAACAATTCAGTATAATCTCATTAGTGGGGTGTGGGGAGGATAGTGTGTACGTAGACCTTACCCCTACCATGAGATAGAGAGGCTGATTCCAATATATAGACCGTCGGCATCTTTCCCTCCAAGAACTCCCCACCTTGCTCTTGGTGTGACTCGAACTCACAAGCTTTTGATTGAAAGTGGAGGTTGCTTACCATCAGAACAACCCTCTTGTGTTAGTATTAGATTTTGAAAAAAAACTTGCTATTTTTATCTCTCCTTTTAGTTACTTGGAATTAACTCAATGTTTGGGGATGAAGAAATATCTTTGAAACTTATCTTATTTATATACAAAATTGTATAGAAAGCGACAAGATGCGGGCATTGTTTGCTAATAGCGTTGAGATTGTTGCGCTTCAAGAAACAAAACTTTAATCATTGGTGATGTTGTTCTCCAAAGGTTGCCAGAGGCATTACTCTATTGCTTCTAAGTGTTGAAAGATGTCTCAGCAAATACGTGGCTTGTTAATGTTGTCTTGGTGGAAGGACCCAAATTTTGTCAATGGTAATAGCAAAGCGCCAGTATTAAATTGAGATGAGGATCTCTTTTGGAAGATTTTCGTACGATTTCTTCAATGAGATAATCTAAAAGGAACTTTTTAGAAAAATATAGAAGGGAGGAACACGAGTGCTGCAACGGTGGCGAGGTGAATATTATATTTGGAACACGTATAGATTGTTCGTTACCTTCCCCCCTTGCGTTAAGGATTCTATCCATTTTGATGGAGATTTGCCTAGGTTTAGCCACGATATACTATGACTCTTCTTAATCAAGTGTTGTTTTGTTAATCATGTACTATTTCCTTCATCGTTAATATTTTCAAATGGAGTACCTGAATCAATTTTAAGAATATTGTCAATCTAACTAATGTTAGAAATAAAATAAACTCATTGAAAGGTAGATGATAGAACAAGTTGTTACATATTGCACCTGTCGCCATGAAAATTGCTGAATGTATAACTTGCTATAAGCATGAAGGACAAGAACATTTAACATAAGAAATGCTGACCAATGGGATTGATTTATGTCATTAAATAAGCAGTATAAGTAATTTAATGTATATTCAAAGAATATAACTATAACCAAGGCAAATTCAGCATGTACTCATGTTATCCATGCATGGGAGTTTTATGTGTGAAAGTAGCGGATTGATCATATAGATAAACGAATGCGTGGCGTGGGCAGTTGAGGGGGTGGGGAATGGGATCCATAAAATTTTAGCTATATATTCATACAATTAGAGAAAATTAATTGTTATGACTAATTACCAAAAGTTTTATTTACTACTCCTAACACTCTGATCTATTTGAGGCAATTTGAATGGTTCAAATAAACTTCCACCAACTCAGGGTGATAAGGCTCGGGCTAATATATATATATATATATATA